CACTGGTCACAGTTCTTTTTTTCCCACAGTCTGTCCTCTAGTGCTTTTCTTTTCTAGTTTTCTCAAGAATTAGTGTCTCCATTTGTCCTGGGGGATAATTCCTGAACATGGAGGAATTTGTGTGGAAATATTCTTTTTTTCCCCCAGCTTGATAGTCCTGGTCCTTATAATCTTTTACATGACCATAAACAGTCCCCTTTCATCCTGGGTCAAGCGTTTCTGGATGGTATTTTTTTTTTTCCTTTCCATTTATTAAGTTCAGAGCTTGTTTTTCTGCTTTGCTTTGTCTCTTCATCAATCAGTCCCTAAAGCCCATTAATCATTTTTAACCTCACTGAAAACTCCTTTACTTATTCCCATATCAGGAGCCCAGGGCTTACTACAGTCCTAAGGCACTAGAGAAAGCCTCCCTGATAGGTACTTATTCTATGCTAACTCTTCTCTCTCCCTTTCTTTTCTTTCTCCCCTTCCCCCTGTCCAACCCCACCTCTGTCTCTCAGCCTCAGTTCTCAGCTACCAACTATTTTTAAAATAATGTCTCTAAATTATGATTTCAGGAGTTAGTCATTGAGGTCCTCGTGTGGAGTCTGTCTGTGTGTGTGTGTGTGTGTGTGTGTGTGTGTGTGTACATGTGTGTGATTCTAAGCGCAAGATCATATTTGTTCTCGGTTACTTAAAAGGTATTTTTCATATTCTCAGAGCCACAGATCTTTTAGGTCTCCTGAGTGCTTGGATCAAGCACAATTCTGGATCATGGAACTATGATGTAGCATTCTATTTTATAGCTATCATCTGAAGAATAAAGAGGAAAATAAGCAGATATGGGGGAAATAGACTGTATTTTAGGATTTGAAATTCTAGGGAATAGGAAAGGGCAAAATTTAAGTAGTCTTAGCACTCCCATATCTGAAGTAGATTAGCTCTTAAGAGCTAATGTTATATATAAACTCTGTGGTAAATGTTATATTCTTTTTTAAAAATGTTCAGCTTTGTTGATATATATCAACAACTAAATTGTAAGATATCTAAAGTGCACATATACCATGGTAATCTGATATATATTGTGCAAAGATCCCCCCTTCTGGCTCTGTGATAACCTAGAGGAGTGGGATGGGGTGGGAGATGGGACGGGGGCTCATGAGGGAGGGGCATATGTGTAGCTATGGCTGATCCATGTTGATGTATGGCAGAAACCAACACAGTATTGTAATTATTCTTCAAGTAAAAGTAAATAAATTAAGGAAAAAAGATCCCCATCTAGTTAATTATTACCACAACCAACACCTTACATATTTGTGTGTGTGAGAGGACATTTAAGAACATTTAAGTTCTACTCGCTTAGCAAATTTCAATTATACAACACAGTGTTATCAACTATAGTCATCATGTTTTGCATTAATTCTCTTTTGCTGTATGGTTTTCAAGATTGGAGGACCCCATATTATAAAGATGTTTGTTCTCCCCAAAGCAATCTATGGACTTAATGTAATCCCAATCAAAAATCCCAACAGTTTTTTTTTTTTCTCTTGGAACTTGACAAGATGACTCTAAAATGCATTGAGAAGTATAAAAGACCAAGGGTGGGTTAGATACTATAGAAGAATAAGGCAGAAAGACTTGCTCCACCAGGTCCCAAGACTTACTAAAAAGACAACTGTAATACTGGTGCAGAAATAGACAAAGAGACCAGTGAACCAATGAGACAGAATAGAAAGACCAGATACAGACTCAGACCTAAAGAGATATTTGATTTATGCTGAAGTGGCATTCTAGAGCAGTGGGGAAAGACAATCTTTTCAATAAATGGTGCTAGAATATTTAGGTATCCACACAGGGAAAAAGAAAAAAGAGAGAAAATAAAGCAGATGCTTGCCTCACACCATATGTAGAAATCTCCAAATTGATACAGACTTAAATGTGAAAGATAAAACTTTAAAACATGCACATACATATATGTTTTATATATGAATACACATATCTTCATAAATGTGGAATTTTGGAAGATTTGTTCTATGACATAAAAATCTGTAGTCAAGATTACATATTTGGTAAAATTAGGAACATCTCTTTATCAAAAGATAAAAAAGCAAATAGCCACACAATGAGAGAATATATTGGCCACACATGTAACAGACAAAATAGTAGGATTCAGAATATACAAAAATTCTTAAATCAATAAAAACATTTTCCAACTTCAGGAAAATAGACAAAATAACCTGAATAGGCTCTCCACAGGGGAGAGCAATATGGTTATTAAAATAGCAATAACCATAAGAGTTCTAAGCTTCTTAAATAATCAAAGAAATGCAATTAGACTGTAATGAGATTCTACCTTATATCACCAGTTAGCTAAAATTAAAACTACTGGCAAAGTGTTGGTGAGGATGTGGACCAGCAGGAATTGGTGGTAGAAGCTGCATACTTAGGAACAGTTTAGCACACTGTAGTACAATTGAAAATACATATGCATGCCTTGAAGAACTGACTCACTAGAAAAAACCCTGATGCTGGGAGAGATTGAAGGTGGGAGGAGAAGGGGATGACAGAGGATGAGATGGTTGGATGCCATCACTGACTTGATGGACATGAATTTGAGTAAGCTCCAGGAGTTGGTGATGAACAGGGAAGCCTGGCGTGCTGCAGTCCATGGGGGCGCAAAGAGTCCTATATGACTGAGCGACTGACCTGAACTGAATGCATTCCTTGAAGTGAAGTGAAAGTCGCTCAGTCATGTCCGACTCTTTTCGACCCCATGGACTATAGAGTCCATGGAATTCTCCAGGCCAGAATACTGGAGTGAGTAGCCTTTTCCTTCTCCAGGGGATCTTCCCAATCCAGGGATCGAACGCAGGTCTCCTGCATTGCAGACAGATTCTTTCCTGGCTGGGCCATATGACCCAACAATTCAGCTCCTAACTATGTACACTAGAGGAATGTGTATAGAAGTAAACATAAGAATATTCTTTTTCACCCATAACATTTTTTTTTTGCAACAGAGGTTGCAAAATAATGCTATGAATGTAAAAAGTTTTAATAGTTGGTGGCTAAGCAAAACATGATAGCCAGTGGAAGGAGCATGCATGAGCTCTGAAGTTAGTGATAAGTGGCTTGAAATTTCAGTCTCATGTATGAGTTGTGTGACCATGGTCAATATCTGAATATCTCTGAACCTCAGTTTTCTCATCTGCAAATTGGAGGTAATCATATGCCTACCATATTGTGTATTATAAGGGGTAAATATATTAATGCATATAAAGAACTGAGCATAAATGCCAGCAACATTGTAGTTATCCAGTAAATTACAACTGTTATTAGTAATATTTTTACTATTGTTAAAAATGATAAGGATGCATTTTATTTTTTCAGAGCCTTTTAGTTATAGCACATTTATTTATATACATTCATTTTTGGTTTTTCACTATAGAATGCAAAATGATTAAAAGGAAACATGGCATTTTTTCACTCTGTTTTAGGGACAGAAAATATTTTTTGAAAAAAATTTGCAGGGGAATTCCCTGGCAGTCCAGTGGTTAGGACTCCATGCTTCCACCACAGGGGGCACAGGTTCAATCCCTGGTTGGGGAACTAAGATCCCACAAGCCATGTAGTATGGCAAAAAAAAATTTTTTTGCATTCAAAATCTTTCAAATACTGAAGCACATTTTTTTTTCTCACTTCCTATTATGACTTCAATAACAGCAAATTAGGTCAGTGGAAAAGCATGTCAAAAATGATTTTATAATTTAAAAATTATGCAAAATTAAAAACTTCTTTTGAAGAAATAAAAAAAAACCAAGTATGATTTTATCAAAAGTCAAAGGAAACCAAAACATGAAAATGTTAAATAACTTTATCAAGAAGTAATATCAGAAATGAAGTATCAGTTCAGTTCAGTTCATTTCAGTTGCTCAGTCGTGTCCAACTCTTAGCGACCCCATGAATCGCAGCACTCCAGGCCTCCCTGTCCATCACCAACTCCCGGAGTTTACTCAAACTCATGCCCATTGAGTCGGTGATGCCATCCAGCCATCTCATCCTCTGTCGTCCCCTTCTCCTCCTGCTCCCAATCCCTCCCAGCATCAGGGTCTTTTCTAATGAGTCAGCTCTTCACATGAGGTGGCCAAAGTATTGGAGTTTCAGCTTCAGCATCAGTCCTTCCAATGAACACCCAGGACTGATCTGCTTTAAGATGGACTGGTTGGATCTCCTTGCAGTCCAAGGGACTCTCAAGAGTCTTCTCCAACACCACAGTTCAAAAGCATCAATTCTTCGGCGCTCAGCTTTCTTTACAGTCCAACTCTCACATCCATACATGACCACTGGAAAAACCATAGCCTTGACCAGCCGGACCTTTTTGGCATAGTAATGTCTCTGCTTTTTAATATGCTATCTAGGTGGGAAACCCAAGATTCTGCACATTGAATTATATCAGCAAGAAAACTGAATTAAGTAGCAGTAACCTTTAGCCCTAATGCTATGGCCTTCATTGCCTTACCTGCACAATGACTGAATCATGTCATAACAAACCCTTGGAGTCCCTTTAACCTCCAGTGAAATTTCACTTCTATGTCTGAAGTCTTTGTAATGACCACCAGAACCACAGTCATCTTTTGCTCTTGGGAATTCCTGCCTGTACCCCACTATTTATCTTTCCAAACTGGTTATGACTGTGTCGTCATGTTGTATTGTTCCTTTTATTTTCACAAGCATATCTTCTCTCTCCAATTAGATTGGAGATACAGACCTTTTCTTACGTGCCTTTGCATTTGTAAGGTTTTGAGTGCAAAAAGAAAAAATATATATATTATCATCTTCTGTCCCCTAATAGCACCAAACGTAGTGCTTTGCACCAAGTAGGAACAAAATAAATGCGTAAGGATGATGACTGTCAGATTTTATTTTAAAAAAAATAGGAGTCGCCATCATAGCTGTGGTAACATGGGCATCAGGTTGGTGGATTCTGCTTCAAAAGCAATTTTGTTTGTTCTCCTTTGTTTCAGAAAGATGCTGTGAAGCGAATATTCTCGGGCATTCAGCCTACAGGAATCCCCCACCTTGGCAACTATCTGGGAGCCATTGAGAGCTGGGTGAGGTTACAGGATGAGCATGACTCCGTGATGTATAGTATTGTTGACCTACATTCCATCACTGTCCCCCAGGACCCAGCCATCCTCCGGCAGAGCATCTTGGACATGACTGCTGCTCTTCTTGCTTGTGGCATAAACCCAGAGAAGAGCATCCTCTTCCAGCAATCTCAGGTCAGCTTCTTAAATTAGAACTGAGAAAACCTTTATTTTCAGATTATTTGAGGAAAAAATTCAGTGGTTTATACAGCTCCTGTTTGTGATTTTTTTTTTTGAGTGTTCAAAGGTGACTTCATCAAATGTAACTGTTTCATTTTCATTTTTCCTTGTGTTCATGTCATTGAGTATTATTATAATGCAATAATATTTTCAGCTTTTTCCTCAACAGTACTTGGTAAGTTTATAGTGCTTCATATACCAAAAAATTGTATCCTATTATTACTTCTAACTCAAGAATTGTTTTTCTATATTGGGTTGCATTCAAACTGATGAATTCATGCTGTTGACTAGTTTCCTGGTGATGAGGGATAGAATTTAGCAACTGATGGTTTTACGTAACTCCAATGTTGCTTTGCTGGGTATTGCATTTGGAAGGTCTATTGGATGATTCCTGTTGTTCATTCTTTGTATAATAACTTTTGAGAAGATTTGAAAGAGCTAGCTGGGAAATTGGAAGATGATGTCCAGTGTCTTGAGTCCAAGCCAAGAAAGGCCTCAGAACACAGCCAGAATATTTGACTCATATCTTTACTATGGATGAATCAGTTTGCTCTTGGACAGGCAGATAACCTGGCCTAGAGACAGAGCACTTAAGAGACTCCCTAGAAAAGAAGATGAGAGTTTTAACTGAATCATGCTTTACATTACATGTTTTCTTTAACCTGATGACAAGCCCCAGCCAAGGAATAGTATGCTATACATGTTTTGGCATAATTTAACATGTATGCAAATGTGGTACGTGTTATACATGTGTACAACTCCTTTCTTGATCATAAACTTCTGACACTCATTTTTAGGCATATTTAATCACCCACAGAACTTAATATAATGATTCACACACAGCAACCATTTAAAAATATGTAATGAATGAGAAGAATATCTTCAAAAAAATAAATGCAGTTATCAACTTAAACTTGTTGCCAGCTTAGAGATAATCTGAAAAAATAATAGAATCTAATCATTAACATGACTTTTAAAGGCAATTTACCTCAATTTCCTTTTTCACAGTTGGTCAGGAAGGCCTTTACGTATGACTTTTCAGATTGAAACTTGGACAGATATAATTGTTATCAAGAACTTGCTTATGTTGAGCAAACATTTGCCTTCCTGTAATTTTCAGCCACTCATTTAACTTCTCTCTGAAAATACATAATAAATAAACTCTGTCTTCCACATGACTGCTATTCCAATACTTGGAGGTATTGGTTGTGCATCATCCTTATCCTCCAGGTCCTTGTTCCATAGGACTTACCTTCTTCATACTAGCTGTCCTTAGATATCTCACCCTCTTGGTTGTCCTACCTCAGAAGCATTCCTACCTTTTCTCTGAAAAGATGGTGCCTCTCATATTTCATGAAGCAATGTCTATCCAAACCCTTCACACCCCTCTCTCACATTATAATTATCAGAGCCAGTCTAATAATTATCAGAGCCAGTTTTTGAGTCACCTAATGCATTTTCCAAGGCATACCATCTTCACTCCATCTTAGCTGTTTTTGATATAAGCTCTCTTTTAATCCTTATATGATGCTCTTTTTTAAAGAATTTATTTTTATTAGAAGATAATTACTTTATAATACTGTGATGATTTCTGCTATGAATCAGCATGAATAGGTCATAGGTATACTGATGTGCCCTCCCTCTTGAACCTCCCTCTCACCTCCCTTCCCATCCCACCCCTCTAGGTTGTCACAAAGCACTGGCTTTGGGTTCCCTGTGTCATGCAGCAAATTCCCACTGGCTATTTATTTTGTATATGGTGTTGTGTATGTTTCAATGCTGCTCTCTCAAATCATCTCGCCCTGTCCTTCCTGACTGTGCCAAAAGGCTATTCTTTAAGTCTGAGTCTCCTTTGCTGCCCTGCCAGTAGGATCATCAGTACTCTCTTTCTAGATTCCATCAGTTCAGTTCAGTTGCTCAGTCATATCTGACTTTTTTGTGACCCCATGTACTGCAGCACACCAGGCCTCCCTGTCCATCACCAACTCCTGGAGTTTATTCAAACTCATGTCCATTGAGTTGGTGATGCCATCCAACCATCTCATCCTCTGTTTGTCCCCTTCTCCTCCTGCCTTCAACCTTTCCCAGCATCAGGGTCTTTTCAAATGAGTCAGCTCTTCGCATCAGGTGGCCAAAGTATTGCAGTTTCAGCTTCAACATCAGTCCTTCCAATGAATATTCAAGACTGATTTCCTTTAGGATGGACTGGTTGGATCTCCTTGCAGTCCAAGGGACTCTCAACAGTCTTCTCCAACACCATAGTTGAAAAACATCAATTCTTCGGCCCTCAGCTTTCTTTATAGTCCAACTTTCACATCCATACATGACTACTGGAAAAACCACAGCTTTGACTAGATGGACCTTTGTTGACAAAGTAATGTCTCTGCTTTTTAATATGCTATCTAGGTTGGTCGTAACTTTTCTCCCAAGGAGTATCTTTTAATTTCATGGCTGCAGTCACCATCTGCAGTGATTTTGGAGCCCAAAAAAGTAAAGTCTGTCACTGTTTCCATTGTTTCTCCATCTATTTGCCATGAAGTGATGGGACTGGATGCCATGATGTTTGTTCTCTGAATGTTGAATTTTAAGCCAACTTCTTCACTCTCCTCTTTCTGTTTCATCAAGAGGCTCTTTAGTTCTTCTTCGCTTTCTGCCATAAGGGTGGTGTCATCTGCATATCTGAGGTTATTGATACTTCTCCCAGCAATCTTGATTCCAGCTTGTGCTTCATCCAGCCCAGCATTTCTCATGATGTACTCTGCATATAAGTTAAATAAGCAGGGTGACAATATACAGCCTTGACATACTCCTTTTCCTATTTGGAACCAGTCTGTTGTTCCATGTCTGGATCTAACTGTTGCTTCCTGGCCTGCATACAGGTTTCTCAAGAGGCAGGTCAGGTGGTCTGGTATTTCCATCTCTTTCAGAATTTTCCACAGTTTGTTGTGATACGCACAGTCAAAGGCTTTGGCGTAGTCAATAAAGCAGAAATAGATGTTTTTCTGGAACTCTTTTGCTTTTTCGATGATCCAGCAGATGTTGGCAAGTTGATCTCTGGTTCCTCTGCCTTTTCTAAAACCAGCTTGAACATCTGGAAGTTCACCGTTCATGTATTGTTGAAGCCCGGCTTGGAGAATTTTGAGCATGACTTTACTAGCGTGTGAGATGAGTACAATTGTGCAGTAGTTTGAGCATTCTTTGGCATTGCCTTTCTTAGGGATTGGAATGAAAACTGACTTTTTCCAGTTCTGTGGCCATTGTTGAATTTTCCAAATTTGCTGGCATATTGAGTGCAGCATTTTCACAGCATTATCTTTTAGGATTTGAAATAGCTCAGCTGGAATTCCATCACCTACACTAGCTTTGTTTGTAGTGATGCTTCCTAGGGCCCACTTGACTTCACATTCCAGGATGTCTGGCTCTAGGTGAGTGGTCACACCATCGCGATTATCTGGGTCATGAAGGTCTTTTTTGTACAGTTCTTTTGTGTATTCTTGCTACCTCTTCTTAATATCTTCTGCTTCTGTTAGGTCCATACCATTTCTGTCCTTTATTGCGCCCATCTTTGCATGAAATGTTCCCTTGGTATCTCTAATTTTCTTGAAGAGATCTCTAGTCTTTCCCATTCTATTGTTTTCTTTTATTTCTTAGCATTGATCACTGAGGAAGGCTTTCTTATCTCTTCTTGCTATTCTTTGGAACTCTGAATTCAAATGGGCATATCTTTCCTTTTCTTCTTTGCTTTTTGCTTCTCTTCTTTTCATAGCTATTTGTAAGGCCTCCTCAGATGGCCATTTTGCTTTTGTGCATTTCTTTTTCTTGAGGATGGTCTTGCTCCCTGTCTCCTGTACAATGTCACAAATCTCCATCCATAGTTCTTCAGGCACTCTGTCTATCAGATCTAGTCCCTTAAATCTATTTCTCACTTCCACTGTATAATTGTTAGGGATTTGATTTAGGTCATACCTGAATGGTCTAGTGGTTTTCCCTACTTTCTTCAATTTAAGTCTGAATTTGGCCATAAGGAATTTATGACCTGAGCCACAGTCAGTTCCCAGTCTTGTTTTTGCTGACTGTATAAAGCTTCTCCATCTTTGGCTGCAAAAAATATAATCAATCTGATTTTGGTGTTGACCATCTGGTGATGCCCATGTGTAGAGTCTTCTCTTGTGTTGTTGGAAGAGGGTGTTTGCTATGACCAGTGCATTCTCTTTTCAAAACTCTTTAGCCTTTGCCCTGCTTCATTTTGTACTCCAAGGCCAAATTTGCCTGTTACTCCAGGTGTTTCTTGACTTCCTCCTTTTTGCATTCCAGTCTGCTGTAATGAAAAGGGCACCTTTTTGGGGTGTTAGTTCTAGAAGGTCTTGTAGGTCTTCATAGAACATTCAACTTCAGCTTCTTCAGCATTACTGGCCAGGGCATAGATGGATCACCGTGATATTGAATGGTTTGCCTTGGAAAGGAACAGAGATCATATATACATGTTAATATATGTATATATAGATTCCATATATACATGTTGATATATGACATTCATTTTTTTTTCTTTCTTATTTACTTCACTCTGAATAATGGCTCTAGTTTAATCCACCTTATTAGAACTGATTTAAATATGCTCTTTTTTATAACTGAGTAATATTCCATTGTGTATATGTACTGCAACTTCTTTATCCATTCATCTGTCAATGGACATCTAGGTTGCTTCCATGTCCTAGCTATTGTAAACAGTGCTGCAATGAACATGGGGGTACATGTGTCCTTTTCAATTATGGTTTCCTCAGGCTATATGCCCAGTAGTAGGATTGTTGGGTCATATGGTAGTCTTTTCCTAGTTTTTTGAAAGAAATCTCAATACCGCTCTCTGTAGTGGTTGTATCAATTTAAAAAATTATATTCTATTTCCATAGTTCTTCTAGGTGAAAATGTCCAATCTCCACAAAGTAGCTACTTGTCAG